CTCTAAGGAGGAGACTCGCGAAGACTTTGAAACATTTTGAAAGCGCTCCTTATTTTTGGGACGATTAGGTTCTCTCAGTAGTTCCGTACAGTAACCCTACCTTATAACTTGCGATTCCGTCATTATTGAAGTCAAGGATCCAGGCGAGCCCAGGATCCCTTTTTCGGCCTTTCTCCTTCGATTTCGTCTTGCTCCATAGCAGCTTCATCTCTGCTCATCACCTTCACGAATTCCTCCTCATCGATTTCACCATCTCCATTTATGTCGAAGTATCTGAACATATCTCAAGCAATTCCCACGTGTAGGAAAATTCTCACAACAACACAGTTCTTCCCTGATGGGCTGACTTCGCCCATGGGACCAGCCTGAACAGACTGGAAACTAAAGAAAAAAACAGAACTGCGCATGGCAAAAAAGCTTTTAAGTTCAGAGACGACCCTCCTCTCATAGCGACGAGACGAATCTTCCCATGGAAGTCTACCAACGTTGTTCGCGGAACAGGAAAAATCAACTATCAGTAGAGGAGAAGAAACAGGCTAACTCAAATGGGCACTCCAACCTTACTTAGGGGCGGAGACTGTCAAAGACTTTGTCGCTGGCTCACCCCTACTCCCACGGTCTCAGAGAGGAGAGCGGCGCAATGAGAAAGGCACAAGGGCAGGACTGACTCCGCCCATACGGTCAGGCTAGATCGCGCCTTTAAAGAGCTGATAGATGATGATAGAGATAAATGAGGTAAATAGTACCTTATGTAGTACTTCACGGCGGTGGTGTTGTCGATATCTTCGTTCTTCCATGTTTTACCATATTCCTTCCGCATTGTACTGAGCCATTTCAGGAGCTAAAATATTTTTTGGTACTGAGAAGCACTCTACACCTTCTTCTTCTTTAGCGTTTATCCCATTTGGCGGCGAGGTTGCCTTCGGTGGCTGGATTGCCTTCAATGGCGGGGGTTGTCTCTTCTGATATGGTGACGCCACTTTTCCCAGCTGAATGCTTGGCCGAGGTGAATGCCAGCTATTTTAAAGTCTATGTGCAACGTGCCGAGCCAGCGCCGTTTGGGCCGCTCTTTACGCCCCTGCCTGGGCACCTCAAACTGCAGGGCCGTCTTGAGGACGCTTTCTACCCTTGCGCGAAAAACATGGCCCTAAAATGGGTTCCTTGCATCCCACTGGCTAAAAACTATAGGCTGAGGGTATAGAAACAGGACGGAGGATGACAGTCTCCGCCCACGTCTCTGCCTATACGATGAGCATGGACTACATCTCGTGGTGATTCAGCTTGGTAACAGAGTAGGCTGATAGTTTCTAAAAACCGTTTTACGAAAAACATTCGTACCGAGGCTTCTGTCAGTTTCCCTTTGGAATCGATATCGAGGAATTTGAATTGTCGTTGATGTGAGTACGGTTCAACGGTGAAGCAATAGCCTCCAGGCGTCTGAAGTGAGCCAGTGCTCGTCATTGGGGGAGATTTGCTTTCCAACTGTGAAAACTCTCGAAGTATTCATGAGTTACAGCCTTTGAAAAAATTTGGCCACTCACCTTTAACTGTTTCCTTTTCGGCTCAATCGATAAGCGTACGGTCCACACTTGCGAGACTTCTTTCATGCATCCATACCCTTCAGTCCCTTAAAAAGGACAGGGGGGAAAAAAGCCGGTTTTGGAGAGCGAAGACTGTACTTGAGGACAAAAAAAAAAAACGCAGTTCATACAAGGGCTTCAAAAGGTAAGAACACAGTGATCGTGAGCTCATCGGATGAAGCAAGAAATATAACCAGAGCGATACAAGTTTTGATACCTTATCAAGACCTGGCGAATTGCGTCATTCCCCACTCAAGTTGAATCGTCACCTCGGACCTTCGCCGTAGGTTTGCGTAGCATCTTCTTTGCCGTCTTCGCCGTGAACACCTGAAAACATCACGGATGACAGGGCACGGATGAAACAGTCGAAGGGTCAGACCTTGTAGTGGAACGTTACGAAGTCCTTTCGTTTAGCAGCCGCTGGACACTTCGCTGGTACCCACGTCTTCTCAATCTGAAATCCCTCTTTTAATAGGATATCGTTAAAGGAATAGTCAGTCACGCTGATCGTATGGGCGGAGTCAAGCCACGCGACGTTGTGCCTATCTCGATGATGCTCCCTTCCTTCCTAGCGTAGTGGAAGAAAAGGTGTTTCAATGGGAAAAGCACTACGATTCGGCGACTCCGCCCATACAACCACTGTGGAAGGACCTCTTCAATTTTATCGAATTTAGATCAGACCACTTCAAAGAACGTTTCTATTTCTCCGAATTATAAAGCTTTCAACTGTACTCGAAATACCAGAATAATTTGGGAAAACGTGAGAAAACACCAGTAAAAGCCTTGTGGAAACTGTACTGCACACGCACCTTCACATCGAGAGGTCCTCCGTTGCTGATCTCTTCAAGATGCCGAATCTTGAGCAGCACTCATCGGCTTACCCTCTCCTCGAATTTCAATTACTGGTATAGAATCTTCCACTTTTCCACGTCCGCCTACATTTTCGCAATCGACTGAAACACGTAATCACTAATTCACTACAAACACTTGAAAATGAGAGGCACAACCATTGTCGTGTGGGCGGAGACCGTCAACAAATACACACTCCTCTTTCGTGCGCCCCTCTTCTTACAATCTCGAACAGGACAGACGCGTCAGTGAGGAATGCATAATGGTTGAACGTCTCCGCCCACTTCTGGCTCATGCGTCCAGCGCAAACCGTGCCTTTGATGAACAATTTAAACTCATAGGAAGTTGTTAGATTTCCAGATGAACATCGATCAGTAATAGTGGTACTATATGAATAAACAAATAAGTGCAAGAAAAAGCAAATAAACAGGTAAACAAGCAAAGTGTAAATCCAGATCTACCAAAGTTGAGGCCTCAGCTGAGGGCCGCACTTGTGCACAGACAGTCGGTGGGTTTATATGTCCTTCGAAATAATCACAAGGATTGGTGGTTAATGGGCAGATGGTTTGTCTGAGCAGGAATTTGGACCCTTACCTTTATCCTGGACAAGTGCTACGTCTTAAGGTGAAAAATTGATAATTCACACAAAAAATGTGGGCGG